CCTGATGGTGGGTCTTTCCCAGCTTGACATCTGTTTCAGTCTGTGACTCAGACTTTAATTTGCTTAATAGCCAGGTGCTTTGACTCTCACAAAATCTGTGTGCAAACTACCTTGGGTTCAATCTCTGCCTTCAAATTCCTGTGTGTTTAACTGTGTTATAGTCCTAATTTTGCTAGCAGCCAAAATACCTAGCTCTATTGCTACCTCTGAGATGGGACAGGGATGGGGGCAGAATATGCGTTCCGCTGCTACTTGGAGTGTATAATTGAATCAATCCTGTTAGGTTCTAATGCCTAAGCAGGAGTTACACAGAATGCAGCCTTGATGAGGTATGACAAAATGAAAATGATTTACTTTAGGTGAGTCTAGGAGAATCTTTCTCCCTTTGCATTGCAAATTCTCATGCATTCTCACAAAATAAATGTGAAAGATCTTAAAATATCAAAAATGGATTGTAATACAGACTGGAGTATTTTGGACTTTAAAAAATGAAAACCAATTTCCCCGTTGAGCTCACTGAAGTAATGTCAGGAGTCATATTTTATAACGCAGCTGAAGGAAAATGTCCTCTTAAGATGTGGTCACTTCCAAACATGCCACAATTTTATAATCCCCTTTGATATGGAGAATGTTCTCATCTATGCATAGTAGCTAGGAGGATTTATGGTATAGTGTTGCAATTCATTTCATACCACCTCATATCTATAGATTTTTGCCTCCTTTCTTCCTGGAAAATATCTCTTATCAAAAAAATAATAATAGAGGAAATAGGATGACAAATCTGAGCCTCATTTTCAACACTGTTTACACAACAAACAGTATAAGAGTATTAAACAAGTGTAGAAATTAAAAGATAAGGAAGATGCCATTTATGTGCATCTATAATCTTGGCACAGTTTGTTTGGCATCTTGAAGTATTTTCCTGATCACTTCCTGTTCATCTGAGCTATTGAAAAAAAATGCAGATCAAGTTTCAGATTCTACACTGTATATATTCACAGGTGATCCCTGCCACAGGATTACTGTTTTAAATTCTTCCGGACTCTTCCCCTGAGATGGATCACACACTGATCTTTCTTTGGGTGCTGCTACTTTCAGCCACAGGTAATATGTTGGGTTTGATTTGGGCAAAGAGATACTTGGTACCAATAAAGGAGAATATTTGTAGCTCAAGGTTGAAGTGAAGGGTCCTCGGTGCTCTCTGAGCTTGGTTGTTTTCTTGCAGACGATTCATTACCCAAACCAGGTAACATCATCAGTGCTCAGAGACTACCAAGGACCCCTGCAAGGGATACTTATTACATTGTCTCCATATATAACGTTGGAAATGAGCTAAATAATAATGAAGAACTGAAAAACAGACTATTTGAACTGCTTGACATTTTAATACAATGACTAGAATGTACTTCTACTGCAGTTTTCTTGGGAACATTATAGATATTTCCTTCAGAGTTTCCCCCCCCCTTCCTAATCTAGCTAAAAGGCATAGTATTAAGAGGTAATCCCTATCCAAGTACTGGACTGGTTCTGACTACGTAGATTAAATTCCACACATAAACATAGTCAGTCAATTCCATAGCTCATACCAAATGCCATTTTGTTTTCCAGTTTAAAACCTGGGTTGAGTTTACTTATACTCAGGCTACTGCAGAATATTGAACTGAAAAGAGTATCTATGCGATCAAGTGATTGACTTACAGTACACAAGTGAATAAGAATACCTGATATTTATGTCCCAGTATTTATAAGTATCACTTAGAATCCCATTAATATTTTTTTCAGATTATACGTGCATCACTACAGATGCTCACTTCAGATTCTGGCTGCATACAATTAAGAAGAATAAATAGCTAAATAAAGCGCATAAAGGGAGCTGTGGTTGGATGACAAAAATGATAGGTTTACAGCAGTAGGACAGGATCTCCAAAAATGTAGCAATGTGTTTGTTCATATTAAATAAATTTTATTTTTTTCCCCAGCAGCATCTACAGTGTCTGGTAAGTATTGTTCTTCTACTAATGAAATTGATTCATTGCCACAATTTTTCTTTCATTTTTTCCTCTTAGCATTGAGAAATATGACCAGGTTAAAGGGTTGGGAATGAATCACTCTCATTCAGATGCTGCCAGCATAAATGGGAAAACAATTGTTTCATATTAAGCAAATTACAAAATTCAAATATTCAGTTCTTTTCCTTCTGCCTTCTACTTTCTAAATACATCAAATTCATGAGCTTGTAACCCAGGCTAAAAAGATTTCAAGGTCAATTGCTGATTATGTGAGTTACAAAAGGAATATTTCAGTTTAGATGAAGGAAGGAGGAAAAAAGGAAGATTCAATAATATTTCCTCTGCATTTGTTGTCAGTTATGGAATCAGCAACACACATCCTAGTCCATCATTTCCTTTACTAGACTTAGCACACAGAACCTGTACTCTCACTTCTCTCCTGCCTGGGTTGATCATATATATTTCTTAAGTACATCTTTCTTACCTTCTTAAGTACATATTTCTTACCACCTGAAATTTTCAGGAGAATAGTAAAGATAGCTTGATTGTGTTTGCCATCATGAAGTGTTGAGCTTGATCATCATTTAACAGAAGGCTTATCCATAAGAGCCTTAGACTTCTTCTGCCTTTAACTTGATCAGCATTGTATTGTTCTACTTTTTTTTTTAAAAAAAGTGGATTTGACTATAAGTCAATAAAATAAAGGTAGGCAAGGAGTTAAAAATTTAAAGGGTGGGAGAAATCTATTCTGTCTATTCTAATTCTCCCAAGTAACCAATAGCTGCAGATTAAAATTCTTGTCTTATTTTCTTCCATAAACATAATTAATCACAAACCAAACATCTGAGTAACAATGCATGGGGGATGAATAATGTGATATTTTTTTCCCTGTGAGTTACAAAGATGCCACTTCAAATTTATTTATTTTATTTATTTATTTTAGATTAAAACAATTATTCCTAAAAATACAAACAGTAGAGGAGAGATTAGATTGAAGGTCTGGTCAATCAGTGGGACCAGAGGTTTAACCTTTTAAGCTTTTGGATTCGTGTGGAGCCCGTCCTGAGGGAACTTCTCTCACACCACATTCTGTTAGAGAGAAGTCCCCTGAGGATGGGCTCCAGCATGAGTCCAAAATCTCAGAAGACTAAACCTCTGGTCCCACTGATCAATCCTAAGACACGTACACTTGCCTTCTTTCATGAGAGAGTAAATTAATCAAAATACTAGAGCAATCTTAAGATATCCCTGATTTGTATTGATTGTTCTGTTTTTAATTGGCTGTAAGCCGCCCTGAGTCCATTGGGAGAAGGGCGGGATATAAATGCAATAAAAACTTCAAACTTCCCTGGGACCTTAGGCCTGATAACAAAGCCAGGTCTTGAGGGAGTTGTGGAAAAAAAGGGGGGGATGGAGCTAACTTCACTTCAGGGGGAAAATGTTCCATTAACATGCTCCATGGCCAAAAAGGCCTATCTCCTAGAATCTGCCAGATTTAAGTCCCTAATAGACAGGATCTGAAGCATACCCTTTCTTCCAGATCTAATGGAATGGGCAGATGTAGTTGGGGAGATAACCTTAGATAACCGTACTAAGACACGAAGTACTTTAAAACCAGCACCTTTAAGTGGTCCAGGAAGAAAACTGGCAACAATCCAGCTCATGGAGCACAGGGGTGACATGTGCTGTTCTAGGAGCACACATAACCACCCATGCTACCAGCTGAAGCTTCCAGATACTTTTCAAGGGCAACCACATGTAGAATGCATTACAACAGTCTGATCTAGATGTTACTAAAGTGAATGTGTCTGTGAGCAGAGTTTTCCTGGATTCTACCACAGATGTGGAAGACTTGTGCAAGTCTTCAAAGCTTTTAGTGCTCTGCTGATGATTGACCAGCAGGGACAATTTTAGTGAAGAGAAATTTATGCTGCCTTTCTAATAGTTTACTCCCTAAAGGTCATGTACACACACACACAAATACACAAATACCATAATATGACCAAACTACTCCAAAACACAATTTCCACTACATTTGAGGTTATTGCAAAACAATTCATCTTTATCTTTTTCTCTTTTCATCTTCTTTTTAAAGGAGTAATTCCCTTGCCAAGTGAACTTTCAGCAACAGGTAAATAGAACATCTATATAACATAATCCATAAAATTAGTTTTGGCTATGCCAGCCTTATAGAATACTTTTTAGAACAAAAATGTCTCAGCAAGCAACTGACATGCAAATATCCACAAGATGTATGTGAGCTTCATTTGCAAATTTTTAATTTGTTAAAAGTACCTATTGCAGAATGCCTCGAATTTTCTTGCTTCCAGACATTTTTATTTCACCAGTCTTTTACTGAGTGGCCAATAGCATGAATTTCAAGACAGGCAAGTCAAATGCAGCTAATGTAGGCAATATTATAAGACATGCAAGATCTTTGATTAATATAATGATGCCTAATGCTCGGTCTTCACAGAAAATAAAACAGGAAAAGGCGCACTTTTACTTCTTATAGCTGTGCCCTAATGATTTCTATTTTTGCTTCCTTCTAGTTAGGACTAAAAGGGGATTTGGGAACGAGCTTTTTAGCAATACTCCTTCCTCCTTTGATAGCATGTACTCAGGACTTTGCCACCTCTGGGGACCGTAAGAGAAGGAAGTGTGCAAGCAACAAGAGAATATTCTGGCTTCTTCTACAATCCTTTCTTAACTCTCAAATTTTGGCAAGGAAGAGTAGACTTGTTGAACTTTCTAGAGCAAGAATGTGCAAGCCACAGCCCCGAGCCTCCTTCAGTCCCAGAGCTCTTAATCCATTCCATTGTGAACTTCTGGACATATATGACCTCCTTGGTCTTCTTCAGTTGAAGATGGTGCACAGGAAATGACTTTCCCATAGGAGGCTATGCTACACATTTACTAGATGTATATTGTAAGATGACTTCAACACTAACAATATTATGTTATTGCTCAGATTGTTAAAATAAATGGACTGCTTACAAAGTTCACACAGCTGCTCTGAAAAATGTTTCCAGCTGTCTCAGCCCAAAGGTTCATGCCAAATCACCAAATTATTGGTGAATCCAGAGGAAATGTTGCATGTTCCTGTAGATGCACACTTAGACAGAGACAGTTTTCTGCATTTGGTTCAGTCTAATTATATATTAGCACTGGGCCTTTTTCAAATACTTTGCATGGCCCTGTGGCACACAAAGCAAAGCATCCAAAATCCAATATTGCTGTTATTTCTGAGAAGAGTTCTTGGGCTCATTAGTCCTTAAAACAAGCAAAACATAATTACAATTCAGTGCAACCTGAAGCTGTAGGATTGTAAGATGTATTCTGGTGGGCCACAGCAATGACAAGAAGATCCTCCCCTAGTTTGCTTTCTGGCTAAATTCTCCATGACAAAGTTTTATAAATGGCTGCCCAATAATCATTTTGCCCATGATACAATCTCAATCTGTAGATATGCTGCAGTCAGCCATAGAAACATAGAAAACTGATGGCAGAAAAAGACCTAGTGGTTCATGGAGTCTACATTTGAAGGATTTTTGTTTTGTTTTGTTTCTATTTATGTATTTTTTAAAAATTATTATTTTTACCTTCATCAACATTACCCTCACCTCTTCATTATGTAGAATCACATGTGTGTCTCATCAAAGGAATCTTATACATATTTAAACTGAAAGTGGCTTCCTTTGTTTCTTTTTAGCCTTATAAAGTTCTTATTTCAAATGGACAAAAATGTTTTCACAATCTATGACAATTGTGGTCATTTTGAAATTATTTTAATCAGTACAATCGTTCTGTCCTTTCGAGCTGTGTTTTTCACCTTGACAACTTTAAGATGTCTGGACATCAACTCCCAGAATTCCTCAGCCAGCATGCTAAAGCCCAGATAACTTAAAGTTGCTAAGGTTTAGAACTGAGAAGACAATGAATGGGAAGGAGTTT